GGAAGGAAGGAAGGAAGGAAGGAAGGAAGGAAGGAAGGAAGAGATTGATAGGACGGGTTGACTTATGGGCTAACACGAAAAAGAACTCACAGAGAAAAGAAAAGAAAAGAAAAATAGCCTTAAAAAGGAAAACCTTAAATAAAGAGTTAGACAAACTTCGTTTTCAGTTCACACGAATTCACATCATTTTTGCGGAATAAGTAAAATTCCTTCGCCGTTTTATTCTTCAGAATACAACAATTCTTGTTTACAATTTATATTATTTGTGTTTTTCAGCCGGATATGTCGTTCACCTCAAGTCAATTGGCCTTCATACCACTACTATCTGACACACCATGTAAGGACGCAGCTAAGCTCTACCGATATCCAAAACTATTACAATATTCACTCTTGGCTCGATAATGTAGTAAAAAACAATAAAAGCGAACCTGCTGTGGCAGACTTTGAAACTGACTGTGTTATTGAAGAGGAAGCTGACTCGCTTCACGTTGGCGATGATTACACGTCCTCGGCTCACCTTGACCAGCGGTATCCGCTTCATGTGGCATGCGCAAAAGCTAAATCTCCAATAAAGGAACAGAAAGAAGCACTACTGAGTCGCCAAGAGAAGATAAAGACTTTGAAAGCGTTGCTTACGAAACATGAAAGATGTACTCGCAAGGAAACAAGGTTAAAAGGCAAAGACTTGAACCAATGAGGAACATGTACTGTGGTTTCAAAGCCCTCAGAAAGCAACATCTTGGTTTGCCACATGAAAACAATGATAACCTGCGTGAATATGCAGGTAACTATAGCAACGAACAGAACATAGCAGGGCTTGTTGAGATCTCAGCACGAGACTAAAGAGAAGCTAGAAGACAAAGGTGCACTGATGGATATATAAACTCCATTATTACGGTGTAAGTTTTCTGGGAAAACGTTTCTCTCTTACTTTCTCTCCCTTTAATTCCTTTCTCGCTATCTCGGTCTCCCGTGTTAGACCTTCTTCGAGTTTTAAACCGCTGCGTTCATTGACTCAATTACTCAGGTAATTCAATATACACAAATAGTGAGACCAACAGTGAAGTAAAGAATGTACAACTTCAACAATACAAACACTTTGATACTCCACGAGCCTAAACTGGAACACATGATTATTCTGCACAAAATCGAGTCTATTCCTGAGTAACAAAGAAACCGAAGTATGGGATATAAACAATAGACAGCTTAAGATTCCTGTTTTTTCTTCATGCCTTTTTATCAGATTGCGAACATAGTGCATTGTGGTCTAGCTTGGGTACAAAACATCTCTTCTTTATCATACCTTATATGGTATCAGTGTACTGGAGTTGGAGAGACTAGAGACTAGACCTTGCTTGTTGACTTTATTGGATACAAAAATATGTACTTATTGACTGAGTGGGAGGGCCGTACGGGAAAATATTTGGCTCGAGGTGATGCCGTACGGACCGAGCGCAGCGAGGTCCGTACAAATGACCGAGAGCCAAGTATTTTCCCGTACGGCCCGACCTAACTCAGTCAATAAGCATTTTATCATATGACCCTCACGAAAATGAAAATAATAAAAAAAGAAAGCGTGCGGATTCGAGCAGGGCCGGACGGGATTTTCCGGCCCGCTTACGTCAACCTGTTCGGCCCCCATCACGTGACTTTTTCCAATGGTTTTATTAGAGCGCGCAAGCAGGGCCGTACGGGTCATATGATAATAACAGGTTCGTGTTCTTGACATTTGACTTGTTGTCTGATGATGCTCATAAGATTAACATRCAGTTATGACACTGAAATGACGGAGGTTAACCCTGTGTAAATGAGTCTGAAATAAGGAACACAGCGGTATGTTGTATTGAATTCGAAAATTGTCCCTTCTTGTGTGAGCACCTTGAACGTACCACAGGTATCCCAATCATAATTCTAAGGTCAACTTAAAATACCTATATTTCTTTTAAAAAATATTATATCCGATTATAAAGTTTTCATATACTAGTGTGTATTATTAGATGCTAATAAAATTATTGATAAATATTCGGATTATTGTCTAATTCTCGAAAATAATATCTAGAATTACCGCTCTGTCATGGGCTTCCTGTGCCGTGCCTCGCCGATAGTTAGCAGAAACATCATTCTCGTTTTACGCAAAATATGATTCAAGGCCACGATATTTTGTGAATTTTTTTACATCATTTTCCCGAGATTATGCATTGAATCACTAAATCTATTCACTCAAGCGCGCCTAAGAGGTATTTTAACCATATGATGACGCGAACCGTGCAGTCAAAAAGCGAGACGAATTTGTTAAACAGTAAAAATCATGCGAAATCCGCTTGGCATCTTATTTTTATTTGTTATAAAACGCTGGTTGATAGAAATGAGAATTTCAAGTGTTCATCATCGTGAAAGTATTCCACGACCTACATACATTACGGGTCAACATACCACACCGCTCTTTGTTGACGGATCAGCACCTATTGTGGGATCGAATGTGTTAGCAGATGAGCACGCGCTCCTATTCACGTAGCATTTACGACCAACTAATCACCTAACTACCCACTCGTTTGAATAGCTCGTGTATTGTTTTGAAGCTATTACTCAAAGCTGTAGTTCTTCTGGCTGTATAGAGAAACTCTGAAATAACTGTATAGCGACATATCAAGTGTATTTTCCGTTAACACAATAAGATATTGTTCGCTTAAGACAGGGTTCAATGATAATACACGTGACTCGAAAGGAATTAGTTGAGAGTTGATCTTTACAAGATCTTTTGCAGATGTGAGTAGAACTATGTTGGGGAAGGTAAGTCAATATATTTTCTTCTTAGAGTAGTCTTTATGTGGCATTGTCCCTCGAATCAAAGCAGAACGGAGAAATTTAAGCATTACACTGTCTTTTGACTTAGTATATTCATTGCATTGTTCGAATAAACTATTTGCAATACTAAAAGTAATTAACAACCTCTCTCTCTCTCTCTCTCTCTCTCTCTCTCTCCTCTTTTCCTGCCTTGAATAATTAATGAACTCAAACTTAACGGTCTCAAAAAACATCGATCATTAATCAAAAAACTGCGCAAATGAAATAAAAATGCTAACGTTTCGTCGCTACCTTCTGCACAAGAACGGCTAATCGCGCGCTTATCATTAAAAACTGACTTGAATAGTTGTTACGCTCTACTACAGCCAGTTGTTTACTCTACTGCAGCCAGAAAAATAGAAAGAAAGAAAACAATAGAAATAAATTATAAAAGAAGAAAGGAGAGAGAATATGGTCAGGTGGCTCGACAGAAAACCGACTGATTTGACTTTTATCAGTGAGCTCGCATTTTCCAAGTCTACCTTATTAGAGTTATCTGTTTTAAGGACAGGCTGCCCAGTTTGGCAAAATGAAATGCCATCATTGTTCCTTATTTGAAAGTTTTAAGCAAGCAACAACACTTTTGATATTTGGCAGTTTTAATCCAAACATGTTTAGGCAAGTTTGCAAAATCCTTCTTGCTTCCAACTCACCTAAAAGCAGAGAGTTATCATTTACATATTTAAGGTCACATAACTTATCCATTATACGCATCTACTTTTTTTTTCTTAGTTTAGTTTAGTTTATTTGTCACATGATATAAACATACACATCTTATGAAACTTGAGACATACAAATTTTGTGACTGGCGAAGAAAACAGAACTTTCGTCCCAATTGATATTCCCTCTCCATATAATTTACATACAGTACAAACATGACTAACATTAAAATTGACGAGGAAAAAACAATAAGAAAAAGAAAAATAGGATCATAGGAGATTGATGGATCAATCAAGACTTTGGCATATATCGTACCAATGGCGCTAGAAAGGAAAACCGTTTTATCACATGACTCGTCATTCCGAACTATTTATCTTTCAAATTATATCGTGTGATTTATTTCATTCCCATGTGATTTTAATAATTGAATTATTTTCTAATAGCGAAATGTAGTTGTTAGTCGTTTAGTTATTATTACTGATCACTTGAATCATTTGGTTAGCACATAATTTGTTCCGTATTTCCCCGTGACTAGCTTGTCATTCGTTATTTACACGTGTTAACGTCCGGCTGTCACTGAGAGACGACAGAAGAAGTTCTTTTCCTCGTTCATACATCGATCACCACATACATCATTAGCACTAGCACTAGTGGTTTCGTGAACTAACAGAAAACCGCAATTTAAAAACAATAAAAGGCGTTGAGTTGTCTCGCCAGTTTTTTTTCATCAGCTCACGAGCAGACATCATGCCAATCTGCAATTCCATTGTTTTCTTAATTGAATCGAGAAATTCCTGCACATTTTTGAGATTAAGCTGAAATGGCCTTTCAACACGTTATTTCTTGAAGTCTTTCAATAGCGCAGCGCAGTCGTGACGTCATAAAAACGAAGACAAAGGCGAAATTCGGACAAACAAACTTACAAGTTTACTTTCAGCAGATAATTTTCACAGCCGATCGCAGTTGATCTTAGTTTACATGGGTTATTATTGTAACTTTAAGTAAAAATAATAAAATCGGTTCGTATAATCATCGTAGCGGTTAAACAGAATGCAATGTTTGTCCGAATCTTTAAGCTATTTTTAGAATTAGCGCGCTGCGCTATTAAAATTGTTTAGTTATTTTTAGTCTTTATATTGTTCATGGCACTGGAACAACGAAAAAAATTCATGCACAGCTTTCTGGAACAGCTGCAAAAGCGATGCTGCCATAAATAAGCGTTTGGCGGCAAAAACACCTTTAGTTCGTCTCAATTCATATATACCGTGATGTTTCTTGTAAGCGAGAAAAGAATGYATAGAGTTTTTAGAGGGTCCTGAAGGGTTATAGCTGGGATTTGCCTCTTTTAGGCTGGGAAAATGGAATTAAATTATACACTGGGAATGGGATTCAGGACAAAAACTGAACAATAAAAATAGGAAAAGAAGCTTGACAATTGAAGGAAACATGGGCTTATCTTTAAGTTARAATTGTAAAGCAGTAGAGAAGTGCTGGGAAAGAATGGACTCAAACGAAGAGTTACATCAGTGAGAAAGAGAAGGCAATCTGAGAAATCAAGTAGGCGATTACCCGGAGGAAATTTCTCGACAGCCATAGTGATGAGAATTGAAGTACAATACTTAATAGAAGTGGATAAGAGAGCTTGGAATCTTGTATGTACGTAATGGTTAGTTGATTCAGTAGTGAACATTGATTTTCGCGAAAACTGGCTTGCAACTCAATGGTCAGATTCAGTGGGTTTTCATCTAAATATTTATTGAGAAAAGGCAATAACAGTTTTTCGTGAAAACACACCAACGTTAGAATCGAAAATAATTACAAATGAGAACGACACGGGGCAAAAAGTAATCTTGAAATATTCTTCTCATCCCACACACGACAGAAAATGACTTCTACATCAGTTGCCAAACAGATTTTTTAAATTTTTTAAAAATTGTGTCTTGGAACATGTCTCAACAAAAAAATACTTAAGCCTAAGAGGATTAGGACGTTTATTTTTGTCAGATAACGCAATATTTTTATTTTAAGACAGTTTGAGATAATTTTAGGTTCAATACAGATCTCACTTGTGTTGGTAACTGGCTTTCAAATCGCAGTAACATCATACATCAAGATTCAGAGCTAATATAATATTGCATGTGTCAGCCATCAAGATTTAACGGCACGCAGGCGGAATAGCCAAGTATAGCCCACTAGTGCTAAGAGGTTTAATCGGGTATACTTAAGGAGTTAAGGACGAACGCGTGCGGACAATTGCAATGATTGGAATTACGAGCAATCTCGTCTTGTTGAAAGGACGGCTAAATGATTCACTGCCAATAATTAAAAGGAGTTTCGTCAACAGGAGAAGGAAAGTCTAAATTGGTCCACGATATTATTTTTCTTACGTATGGGATAGATATTGCTTGATCTTTGACATGCTCTATCCAGGATTAAAAAGTAAAGACAGTAAAGGAAGACATTTTTGTCGTGCATGGAGTTCCAACAGTATTCGCTCAGTATTATGTATCAAAGATATAATCAAAGATGATAAAAGTAGCCTTTGATAGTGAAGTCCTTGGCGCATGCGTAGTTGCATGTGTTGAACTGGAAATCAATGGTCTACTTTGACGATACGGCGGCCATCTTGCCAGGGGACAGAAAAAAACAAACATGACGGAAAATATATAGAGTTTCGTGTGTGAACGATGTGCCAACTTAATTTTGTTGTATTATATTGTGGTGAGCTGTTAATATCAATGACCTCATTACTGTAACAACGACAACAACAACAACTTTTATACATGAATACAATACTTACAATATTCTAGTTTGAATTAAATAAAAGTATAATGTAACAAATCTTTATCTGCCCCCTGGACGTCCCATATTGCCTTGCGAACCAAGATGGCCGCTCGATCGTCGATCGCGAAGTAGTCCATCTATTGTTCATAGATAGAAGTTAAAGATTGATGCTAAAAGAAAAAGCATAAAACATACAAAATATATAACAATAGTAAACTTGATGATGATCATATGAAGATAGGTTTTGATGATGATGATACATGATGATGATACATGATGATGATACATGATGATGATGATGATGCATGATGAATGATGATGATACAAGATGATGATACATGATGATGATAAATGGTGATAATACATGGTGATGATGATACATGATGATGATACATGATGATGATACAAGATGATGATACATGATGATGATACATGGTGATAATACATGGTGATGATGATACATGATGATCACTTATACGTGATAATGACGAAGATATATGATACACTTTGATGATAATTATACAAGATTTGCATACCATCAATATATATCTGCTACATTGACATTATAAAACAGGCCAACACAACGCCTCATTGATAGCATGGCCTGACTGAAGCACCACAAAAGAAACGAAATATTGCACGAGATGTTTAGCAAGATAACATTTTCACTTGCACATCTTTTCTTCACCCACGACAGTAGAATCACAAAGACGAGTAGACATTTTGTCTTTAGATTACGACAATTTCTCTTTGATCGTAACAAGAGAAAATATAAATATTGTTCGGATGTTGAAACAAATCTTTTTCGGTCATCCGATAAATGTTATTATTGATAACAACGAACCAATACAACAAGGTTTGCTTTCAGACCTCGTGGAACCCGCTAATATCCACAAGTGAAAATACTTTTTAAGTCTTGTAATCTCCTTCGTTTATACTTGCAGTAAAAGCTCTAGGGCTGGGTCAAAGCTCTTGATTATAAGCGGCTTGGCAGCTCTTAGAAAATCGTTCAAATCCAGCCTCATTCACTAACAGAAGTAGTTCAGTCTTTACTACTGACTGCAAGAAACGATCGACACAAGGCTTAGAATTAGCAGTGAAACTAGAATTGTTCCAGTAGACACAATTTCATTGTATTGAAAGACGTTTTGCTGCTATACTCTCTCATCCGTCAATGATCGACCAAGAAAGACCAGAAATGTCGGTAAGAAACCTCTATAAATCATCTTACAAGACATAAACTTCCTGTGTAAATTTAGTACTTAGTGTTTATTGTGGTTAAAAAAATTAAGAAAAATGCGATGTGAAAAATTTAAGGTTATATACATACTTTATTAGGTTTTCCATACAAAGGGCTATTCAAAAACCTATTACATTTAATGAAATATATAAAATGAACGAAACACTAGATATAATTATATGAAAATGTAAATCTACTTATACAGTTTGTCCAATAGTTTAGACKTWAAAATGCTTTYAAACTTCTTTAACGACTTAARTKC